ACTGCTGCAATACTCTGCTAGGGGTTAATCCCCAAAACACTAACATTAAGTTTTTTATTTTCACCTATAATTTACATTTATAGGATAAGGTGTACCAAGATGCCTTATTTCTGCCATTAAATAAGGTGTAAGTTATCTCGAGGCTAGGTATCGTCTTAAAAGTCTATGAAGATTCTCAGTCATCCAGATCATGGCTGTCCCAAAGATGCTTTTTCAAGATCTGAAGAAGCTTCTTGGATGAGAAGCAAAACATCTTACAACAACCCTAACCAGATCACTTTAAATTATATCCTAAATATTGTTTACAGGAAGCTATCAAGGGTACTGCTTTTCTTTTCCAGTTCTTCTTAGATCCAATTTTTCCTGTGAAGCTTTTAGCTGACTCTTACAATGCCTTACAACTTAAATCTGTGATTAAGTCTACAAAACAAACCATCTTCGCTTCCTTTTCTATTTGCTTCCATCTTCCTTTCCTTTACCAACTTTTTAAACATTGGTAAAGCAGTATGCACAATAGTGACATTTTTACAAAAAAAAAATAACAGTAATAATACCTTTAACTAATAATATATATTTACCCTGGTTAACCAAACATCAACATCTACCTAACCTGAGTCCTTAGAAAGGACTTGATAGATTGATAAAAATGCCAAATTCAGTCTAAACATCTGGCTGACTATGTGATGAACCAATAAAAATCTTATTGTTACATTTTTTCTTTGTTTTATTTTATTATTATAAAACATATATTACATTTATTATTTCAATAGTGTGGACTAGAGATTATTAGCATTCTAAAGTTTAGATAACTGAGACCTTTAAAGATAGAAAAGTTACTATATCAATATTAACTCATTTAAAATACCAATTTAATAAGCATAAGAGTTGCTTAATTGGAAAGGTAGGCTGCATATAAATGTAATAAATAAAAGTACATAAATAAATAAGGTTATTTAGCTTTTACATTCCAAACTGGATGTATTATTATTATAACTTTAATAATCAAAGTATTTGGTGTAAAATAAATTTCTGTTTAAACTGATTACTTAATACTATCCACTGTGTTGTTAGAGAGAGAGGGAGGGAGAGGGAGAGAGAGGGGGGGGAGGGAGGGAGGGAGGGAGGGAGGG